CCCATCGTTTGTTACAAAAACAATCTTTCAAAAAGTCCTATAAGTAATGTAATAATTAAAGTAAACACAAAAATGCAATTGGCCCCAAACGATGTTTTTTTCTTTTTATTTAATATTGCATGAGTATTTCTATTCCAAAAACATTGTAACAAAAAAGTACTCTGAAGCACAATGTCTTGGATATGTGAATTTTTCTAGCAAGATGCAATAAATTCTTCTGCATACTAATACTTGGCTTTAAGCCAAGATTTTGAACATAAATTTGAAATTGTTTCTTGGCATTTATATATTTTAATACATTTCTCGATATTCGTGAACTTTTATTGCATGAAACAATGTATTCAGGAAAAAAGCGCATCATCTGCAAAGATATGTCTAGGTTCGTCATCAAAACAGTGTTGAGATCGCTTGCTAAATGTAATGTGGAAGAGATACAGATATTTTCAGAAACTGCTTATCTGATGCATTGCTTCACAAATAACATAAAAATTTGAAATCATTCTTCTATACTTTTGCACTCATTTAAACACCTCGGATTCCCAAAAATGAAAATAACAATCAATACTAAAATTACTTTACACTTTCAAGTGTTTGACACCATCAGATGCCAAAAACTTTAGATGATTACAAGAATTCAGCAGAAATATTGTGCAAAATCATTAATCTTTTTCATCTTTCTTTAACATCATCCAGTTACTTGGAACAGAAGTTAGATTTGATTATTTTGAATTTTTGCGTTACCTTTTTATGATCGTAACAAGGAGCGAAAATGTTGCAGAAGTTAATTTACTTCCTCAAAATCATTCAAGAATTTAAGAAAAAAGAAATTTCATTACATAATGCTTTAGAACATTTTAAAGCATAAACAAACCTCTACTTTTCTACTTAAAATTACCAGTAAACATACAATGTCAGGCTTAATACAGAAGGAAATAAATAAAACCTGCATAAGAATTATAACGAAATGAAGGATTAAAATGGTGACGAGTGATCAACGGTGATGAACGGCTGCAAAACATAACCATTACGATCTAATCGTCGTCGAAGTTCATCGACAGCTTTTGTTGGAGGTGAAATGGATGAAGGTGATGATCTAGACGTAGCTGATGTTGTTTCATTTGTTTCAGTAAAGATGCTATTGATAACAGAGGTGCTGACAGATGGGGAATGCTGCCGCATTGATTCTATAAAGTGATGAAGTTCAAAAAGAGATTAATACTTTTTTGGACTCTAATACTTAGAAAAGGACAGAACAAAAACAAAGGCGAACAACAGTTATCAATAAGGTGATCAATAACACTTTGGAATTCAAAATTTGTACCTTGGACGACTCCTTTACGTTCCCAATGATTTTTCAGTTCTGAGACAGATAACAATCCACAATCAGATGGAATATTACATAATGATGGATTATTACATAATGATCCTCCACTGAATGGTTTAATTGGAGAAGCATATTTTTCAATATTTGGCAAAATA